CCAGAGAAATGCAGCTGTATATCCAGGCTCCAAAGCCCTAGAATATGTCACTTAGGTCTTCATGTACACAGAGCTCCACTGAAAGGCTTTTCTGCAGAGTAAAAGGGAGTTGCAGGTGGAACGACTGCTGGAAATCAGCTTAAAAAATCAACAGTTTCTAATACCTGTGTTCGCCTCCAGTTAATTCCATTAGTCATGTTCTCAATTCACAGCTGAAGTGCACCCAGATACTATGGAGATGAGCATAAGAACCAATTGGAATATTCTAGATAAAACCTGATCCCCTAAATGACGACGTATCTGAATAATTTGGGATGCAACCAGCAAGAGAAGTTCCGGTGAATATCACATGCCTGGCTCTCCCTTACATCCAAGCCTATTTCTATACTGTGCCGTAGCATAAAGAAGACTTAACGTAAGCATTTAAATATAACTCATTTCTATTCAAAGAACCCTTCGTCTTGCTGGAGTTTATGAGACTCAGACACAATTAAGCCACCTATGTGAGCAAAGTTACTCAAATGTGGAAATATATGCAGGATCAGGTCTTTCCAGATGACATTTCACGCCAACCTTTACTGCTGATCTGGCACCAGAAAAATGGAAGTGATGCTTTTAGAAGCAATTCTCTGCAGAGACGCGTTACTGACATCGCTTAAAAACCCTCTCGCTTTGATTTTAAAGCTTTTTCACTATTTTATGGCTGTGGTGACTATTTCTAACGCTGGCGCTTTTTTATGATTAGTGTGTTTATTATTTTCATATTTTCTTTTGCAATCTATTTTTATCTTAAGCAGCGAATCACTGCTTCATTGGGCCAACGATTTGCCTTCTAAAACTGATGGTAAAAATACTGGCCAGCACTGGGAGTTAAGCTAAGTTAGAAAGCTGTTGCTTCTAACATTAAAAACACATACTTGGAGTAGTTCCCTTCTGATGTCTATGCTGGCAAGAGCTCCTATGACTTACAGGGTACAAGTATGGCTCTGGCTCAAGGGAAGGTAAAAAAGGTAATAGAAAACATTCAAGCAGATCTAGACACCCACATACACCCAGCACCAAGAAAACAAGCCAGACCTGCAAAAACACTATGTTTGGAAGAAGGTAAAGGGATTTATAAAAAAAAAAAAAAGTCCCAGTATGAGCAAAGCCCAGGGAGGAATAACTACCTGAATCACAAAACAGAGTATCTAGCCTCAAAGATGCTAATTCAGGTCCTGAGGGATCTAATCAACCTCTTTGTTGAAGTAAAGATAAAACTTTTTGACAGCAAACGCTTTCTGATAAAATGGAATTTTCAATTACCCTGCGAAACATCTGGTCCGCACTGCCATTTCCTGGGAAAAGCACCGCCACGCTCCGCAGTGTTGGAAAACATTTCACGCTGAGATTTCCCCACGTTGCTGGGTGGAACAGGCGTCAGGAGCTCCAAACCCGACGGCAAAGCTCTCGCGGCCGCCTGCATCACCCATCGCTGCCCACGCAGGGGATGCTGGTGGTGGGTGTCCTGCCTGGCAGCACCATGTGCTTCTCTGCCTTGCTAGAAACCACGGTTTCCCCCAGTGCTGGGTTTTGAGTCAAGGGTACACCAGGACATGGAGAAAATCCACCCTGTTTTTGCAGTGAAATAGGCCGAGGTACAAATAGGAATCCCAGGATTTACGCCCATCCTCTGACAGACTTCTCCAGTCAACCCAAAATGTTGCAGAGATCCATCAGCTGCTTGAAAGCCTCCTTTTCTCAAACAAATCCATTTAGAAGTCCAGCTGAGGATGCTGTTAGGAAAGGAGTGCATACAAACTTCTAGCAGCCCTTAACACCTCCACAACTAAACAAACAATTAAATGGCACCGAGGCAGCTGCAAAAGGTGCAGCCGTGCCGGTGCCCGCCTGCCTCAGCTTCCCATTTGGTATCAATTAGCAGGGGAAGGAAAACAATTCTGGGCGATAATGAACTCCAAATTGGGTACATATTAGAGCAATTAAAGCCATCTTTTCAGCTGATGAATTTATAATCAATAATTAAGATCCTGAGCTAAAGAGGGACTGGGCAGAAGTCCTACTCCCAAAATAAGCACCGTGGCTGAGCTCCAGGCGGTATTTCTGATGACCTGCTGCTGCCCACTAAAGTCGACACCCTCCGTTGCTGTAGTTTGCCATCCCTCTGGAAATCTAGGTCATTTCCAAAGGAAGAGAAAGGGCTCCTGCCA